GGCTGCGCGGCGGGTCGGCGCCTGGGGCGCGGGGGGAGGGGAGGGCAGGGCTCGGCTGGCCCGTCAGTGCGGAGCAGGACTGCAGCCGGGGGGCCCAGCCCACGGCCCGTTGGATCCTGGCAGCGAGGTGCAGCCAAGCCGCAAGATCGCCTACGGCTCGGGCTGCCGCCGGGCCTCGCAGGCTTGTCACCCCACAGGCCTTAGGGCCGCTGCCCCCGGGGCCGGGTCGGCGCGGGACCAGACGACCTCCTGCGACCCCGGCCCTATTTTCCTGTGGTTCCTTGCTAATAACTTCATTACACCATCGCCAGCCCCTGCAGCAGGGCAGGGGCTGGTTAGTCCGAGCTGCCAACACTGAACCAGGGATATAGGAAGACAGGGCTGGAAAAGCGCTCAGCACAGGCCCTGCGCCCACGGGCAGCTGAAAAATATGTGGGCTCCAGAGCGACATGCTCCTCTGTCCCAGCGCGCGCCCTCGGGGCGCCGTGGCTGCGCTGCCAGCAGCCATGTGGAGGAGTAGGAGCGTATGTCGGCGCTTTCTGTTTACTCTGAGTTGTAAGTTGGTGCTAGGCTCTGCTAACTCGGGGATCTCACTGAATTTTTTTAATTAAAATCTCTCTCTCTCTCTATATATATATATATATAATAATAGTTGTATATATACACATCCTCTATCATAGACTTCCATTGCACCTTCTTTTAAAACCACCCTAAGAAACCGCACGCCCATTACAACGACCCTTTCCCAAACGCAGGCCCTTAGCCCCGGCCCCAGCGCGGGGTTTCCCTTCTCAGTTCGTTCTCGGGCCTCGTCGCTGTTGCTTCCACTGCTGCTGATCCCGCTGCTGTCCTCCTCGCCGGCTCCAGCCCCAGCTGGGTTGTTGTCCCCTTCGCTCCCCCTGTGCGCTCCCCTTCCCCGGCCTGTGCCACGTGTCCCTTTACTAGGTGGCGGTGGCTGCGTCCTCTCCCACCGCTTCCCGGTAGCAGGACTGGAGCTCGCTCAGAAACATTTTAGCACAGTCCGTTTGCTCGAGCTCACCGTGACTGTACGTCAGGCGGGTCCTGCATTGCCACCGGGCGCTCCCGGTCCCAGGCACCAATCTGGACCTTCACCTCCTGCATGTCCTCCCTCACATCCCAGCCTGCGGCCGCCTGCATGTGCAGGTCCTGCAGCTGCCGGGCCAGGCGCTCGTGCTGCCGTCTGCGGGAGAAAGCTCACTGCTTGCTGGCCTTCTGGAGGAAGACCTTGGTCTTGGTCCTTCCTTTGGTGCTGGCCCACCGCTCTGTCCGATTCAGGTGCAGGCTCTCAAGGGTCCTCCAGCCTGCACGGTGCTCTCTGTAACTTTGCTGGGTCTTTTCGTCTTGCCTGCGGCCCACCGCGGCTGCACGCGGTCATGTAGGGACTGCTCCGAGCCCTAGGACAGGAGCAGGCTGATGCAGGCGATCGCGTGCTGGGGAGGGAGAGTGCTCGGGGCTCAGATCAGGATGATGCATCGCAGCATAATGGACCGGCCCCTCTCCCACTGTGGTCTTGTTCTCCAGCCCCCCTCCTTCTGCCAACCAAGCCTCGAAGACGTGAGCCGCGGTAACCAGAGCTGGGCCGAGCCTCTCAACTGCCGGGACACAGCTCAGAGCTGGGCCTTGCCCCGCGGAGCAGTTAAGCCAGTAGTCCGGCAGTGACGGCTTGGGGGCCAGCAGACTCGGTACCTGTTTGGCTTCCCAGGGAAAGGAGAGCGGGCCACCAGTCTGCCCCCCAGCAGCTCTCTGCTCTTTGACACCTCCAAAAGCACTTTGCAGGAGGTTTGATGGGAATCACCACCCCTTCCCCCTCAACTGGGGATCCCTGAACCCTACCTGCTCCCTTACTGACAGCGCTCCCGCCTTCAGCCCCTAGATTCCTCCCACACAGCTGGACTCGGGCTTTGACGGTGTTCCTGGAAAGCTCCCTGCGGGGTGAATCGTGGGGCTCATTTGGTTTATTTTTGGAAACAGAAAGGAGCCAAGTGAACCCTGGGGCTCTGTCACCATTTCAAACCTTCTCTCCCCTTCCCAGCCAGCAGCACAGGGCCCGACTAGCCCCCCCAATGCTTGCCTGTAACCTCTGGCCAGCGTGTCTTCGATATTAGGCTGCCAGGGTTCATCCTGTAACAAGTCCTGCTCTAACAGATGGCGTAGCTGGCAACACCGCAAGCAGCGCAGTGCTGTAGGGAAGGAGCTTGGTGCAAGGAAACAGCAGAATGGCAGCGGGGCCAGGAAGAAAGCCTGGCGTGTGGAGGAGAGCACAGAGAGCAGCGTGGCCTTCCCTGTCCTTGCACGCAAGACAACACGGAGCGCCCTGGAGAGCAGAAGCGGTGGCTGACCCATCAGGGATCGTGAAAGAAGGGGTAGCAAAACACAAAGACCCTCCCATGGCAGGAACCTCCCAAGCTACGAGGCATCCTAAAGCTGCACGTGGTCCTTTGAGCCGTGGCTGAGGCCAGGGGCTGTTGGAGCGCAGCGTGGAGATGCCCGCAGGCAGAGAGCACGTGGCACTTGGTGAGGCTGCTTGCATGGTGCCCTGCAGGGGCTGGGAAGGGTCATGCCAGGCTTGTGCCAGCTTCCTGGAGGCTGCTAGTGCTGGCCGATTTCAACAACGGGATCCCTTCCACCAACACCCAGCAGTGCCTCCTGCTGAACCTCGAAGCCGCCACATCCAGCCTAAACCTGCTGCCTCCTCTGCTCTTGCAGCCCTTTTCTAAGGGGCCTGAGACACCCTTTAGGGAGATCATTACTGCAAGCCACTGCCCTGAGCAGGATCAGTCTCAGGGTGCTCAGCAGAAGGGGTCGTACGGAGCGAGCAGGGACCCCCCTAGACGGGCAGGGCTGAAGACATCACTTACCTTCACCGAGTAGCTGGCCCTTTGGGCTCTCAAAAGCTATTCCCAATTCAGCATTAAGCAGCCAGCGCCGTTCAGATGCGTGGCCTGGGGCGTTAACTCCTCCGCGCACAACCAGCGCAGGCAGCAGGTGTGCTTCCACATACAGCGCATTCCCCCTTTACTGGGTTTGTGGGAATCGATGCATGTAGCTCTCCTGCTGCAGCTTCTGCCTGGGGCAGTGGCTTTTGCCAGGACCTGGCCCCAGCGCACAGAGCAAGCCGTTACAGGAAGACTGCTTCAGAGATCTTGCCCATGTCAGGCTTGGCTGCAGAGAGACATCACCAGAGGATACCCTCAACACTGCCCTCCAGTGACAAGCACAAGGGGAAGGAGGGATGTGGGGTCAGAGTTGGAGTCCATTTGGGAAAGAGAAGGAAGGTCCTGGCCAGGCCTACAGCAAGGCAGCTCCACCCCTGCTGCTTAGGGCCACAAGCTCACCAGTGCGGGTATGACGAGCCCCGCTGGCACAGACACTGCTAATGCTGGCAAAACTGCCCCTGCCGCTTGCTGGTGATTCTTACTCCAGTTTCTTGAACACGGACATGCTCAGAACTGGCTCCCAGGTCACCCGCCTTTCCTCCCAACTGGCCACCTGCTCCTTGCACTGGGAGGAGAGCATAGGAGCCCCAGGCAGCTCCACCGACACTGCGCCATTGCCTCTCCCTGCGGGCAGGGCTCCCGGCTGCCCCCAGGTGGTTGCAGGGGAAGCCAGCACCATGAGGCTCACTGTAACTAGGAAAACATCCTTCTCTCTCAAGAGGACAGAGGGCGCATCTTGCCATTTGGCACTGGGCAGGGCAGGGAAGGGGGAAAAGAAAGTGCAGACACATCATCACATTGCTTGCGTTGCGTTTCTATTACCTATGAAGACACATACAACAGGCCCCGGAGACAGGCTTGCTCCGTGCCGCAGCCAAAAAGAGCTGGGGCATTTGTAAGTTTTCGCAAGGCAGGAGGAGCTGGAAGGGGGTCAGGATGCAACCTGCAGGCCTTCTGCTTAACAAGCCTTGCGGAAACGAGGCATGGTCCCAGCAGGCCGTAATACATGCTCTGGCTCAGCAAGTCCCAGTTTGTGCTGAGAGGCAGAGACCTCCGTGCTGAAAGCAGCGGTGGCCAAAGCAAGGGAAGCAGGAGACAAAACCAAAGCCAAGCTCTGCGAATGAGGATGTTGCACTGCTCAAGGGAGAGCCCCTGGGTGATGGGCAGATGCAGGATTCCTGCTCCATGAAGACCAGGAAGATTTTGGCTTATTCAGCCCTGCTTCCACTCGAAACCCGCGCCAGCCACAAAGGGCAGTGTTGTACCAAGACTGGCACTCGGCAGCACCTCCCACTGGCTGATCTGGACAGCAGCGACGCCAACGGTTCACACGGGTCCCATGCAGATATCTACGGAGAAACTACTAGAACAGCCAATGTCCCCAAGAGAAATATGGAAGAGGGAAAAAAGAAATCAGAGCTCTCCCAGCAAACAGGTCCATGGAGACACCCTGGAGAGCTGTGCTGGTCAAAGGCTGATGCAGAAATACGTCATGAGCTAAAATGTTTGAGCCCGCAAAGCACGGCAGAGGCAGAGGTCTGTGCTGAAAAGGAGGGAAGTCTAGAGCCATGGGCAACTGAGGCAATCCCTTGAGCCCTCGCTTAGGAAAGGCTGATGTTGGTGATGAGATTTACCCACATCAGGGATTCTCTGCACGTGCGGGCTGGATGGAGCATCTCACAGCCCGCCCATCCTGAAGGGAGATGGCAGGGTGCCGTCCCCACGGGGAGTCCTCCAGTACAGAGCAGTGGTCGCTCAGACAGACAGAAGATGATGGCGTGGATGTCGGGGGCAGGCCACTTGCAGAGGGGCTGTTCAGAGTAAAAAAGCCTGCCCTAACACCAGGGCACCAGCTTGGCCCGGCCAGCGGAAGG